CCCCCCGCCATGTTTCGCTCATTTACTTGGCCTGTCGGGCCACTGCGGCCTTCGAGTCTGCAGGAGCTGCTCCGCACACGCAAAGGCCCCTTATGGCCACCCACCTGCCCCCTCTCCCCCATATTCCCTGGGCCACTGGCACACACTTACCCTCCTTCTCAGCAGGAGGCACAGGGCTCCTGCTTTTGCCTCGAGGGCTGCTGCTGGGCTGCTGGGGGCTGTCGCTCTCCGGCTGCACGTGCTGCGGTGGCGGAGGAACAGGGGGTGCCGCGTCTTCCCGGGGGGGCTCATGGGCTTTGGTGACCTGCTGAGGGAAGCCGGGAGGAGTGAGCATCTTCACAGCCCGTCCGTCCACAGGTCACAGAGATCAGGGAAAGCCCTCCAGGCCCCCTGCGTGGGACCAGCCTGGAAACTGAGGCCCAGGGGGGAGGCAGCGACGTGCCCAAGGGCACGCGGCTTGAGGGCCAGGAGGGTAGGGCTTTGAGCAGATTGTAGGGGGTGTGCCCGCCCATCCCAGCTGCCCGGCCGTGGATCGGGGAGCCCCCGTTACCCTCCCCACCAGCCCCCTCCCCCTTCCCCAAATCGCTCCGGGTCTCAGAGGGATCGGGGTTGACCAATGGGACTGGACCCGGCCTCGGAGAGTGGGCAGTGTGGCTTGGCGAACCTCGTGCCCCTCACTCGGACGCGGAAAGCCCTGCTCAGCTCAGAGCCTTTCAGCCCAGAGCCCCCAGCTGCATTTGAAGGCCCGGCCCACCTCCTCTGAGAGGGACGGCTTTGGCCACGACTGAGCCATCACGAGTAAGGGGCACCTCTGAGGGTCCTCCTGCTGGGCCTGGGGAAGAATCTTCCAGCTCCCCCTCCTTCCCCCGGCGAAGGGCCTCTCGGTAACTGTGGGGCGCCGCCCTCCGCTCCGAGGAGCTGTGACAGCGGGCTGGGGGAGCTTTCTGCGAGGTCTGGGCGCCCCTGGAGGACCGTCAGCGGGCGGGGTGGGGAGAGAGGCCAGGGCGGACACCTCGCCAGTCCCCCAGCCTCCCCGCCTGTCTCCACGGGGCTCTCCCCAGGGAACGGGAGACACGGGCAGAGCCAGGCTGCAGGTGCCGCGCCCCGTCTGCCCGGCCAGGTCTACTGTCCCCGCAACAGGTGGAGGTGGAGGTCGCAGGGGCCCGGGACTCACAATCGGGGGGATGGCGGCCGCCCGCTGCTTCAGCTGCTTCAGGTCCAGCGGCTTCTGGGGCGAGGCGTTGGTCCTGGCGTCGCTGGTCGCAGTGAGGAGGCTGGGCCGTGGCGACAGGAGCCTGCAGGGGAGACCAGCGTCAGGCCCACGGGCTCCCAGCCTCCTGGCTCCAGCCTGGATGACGGGGCCAGAGGGGCTGCCAGAGAGAGGCGAAGGTCCAGGATCACGGGGCCCAGGAGCCTGGAGTCACGGTGGGGTCTCCTTCCTCCCTCTTTCCTCTGGTCCATGCAGGCCTCACAAGGGGCCAAGATCCCTCCCACCCCGGCCCAGAGGCCCAGCCAGGATCAAACACTCCTGAGACAGCCCAAGGCAAGGAAAGCCCCAGAGAAACCCACACTCAGGGCCCACACCACGCTCGGCCCTTTGGAAGCTGCCAGAAAGTCCAAGAATCAGCCAGCTTAAGGCCTGGGGAGCTTGGGAGGTTCAGGGAGAACATCCATCACCCGAATAGGAGAGGCTCAGGTGCCAGGGTTAGGGCCGGGGGCGTGGCGCTGAGAGGACCTTGCATATTGGAGACCGGAATTGGGGAGCCCCCCACTCAGCCCAAATGCAACCTGAGATACTGGGAATCTCGCCTGCACACCGTTTGCTGAGGCGCTAAAGCGGGCGGGTATAGGCTCTGCATGGAGGGGCTGGTCAGCATGTACACGGCCTGCCCAGCAGCCCTAAGTGGGGCTGTGGTTATGAGCAGGGCCTGCAGGTGCCTCGTCCTCTAAAGCAAGGTCACGTCTGTCTGCTGCTGACATGCAGAATGGGGCAGCGCACCTGCACAGGGTGCATGGTGTGTGTGTCGGGGGTGGGGGGTGGGGCAGAATGGGGGGGGCTGAAACACGGTGGGATGCCAGTGACAGGGTCACCCCAGTGTAGAGGTGCAGTGAGTGTCTGGGACACCGGAGCAGAGCCTGCCCTGGGGTGTGGCTCCAGAGCTGCTCACGGGTGTCGCCTCCTTCAGGAAGTCTTCAGGGATTTCCAGAACTCGCCAGCACTGACCACAGTGTCCTGCCACAATCCCCGTCTGCCTCCCCAGCTGGCACGAGGGTCTCTAGGGCAGGAGCTGGGTCTGCTGCAGCTTCAGAACCCCTCACCCACCCACCGGGGCTGCCTGGCTCCGGCCCAGCTCTCGGTTCCCTCCTGTGACCCGCACTTGCTGAATACACAGCAGGCCTGGTGTTGTGCTTGGGGTGCGTGGTTGGAGACCCAGATTCCAATGTCTGCTTGCAGGGCGCCAGAGCCGGCTAGATGATCAAACGGTACGCACAAAGGCACTGGCTGTGGGCTGGATTCAGCCAGAGGGCAAAACGAAGGCCAGGTCCCCAAAGCCAGAGGGTCCTGTTGGTACAGCCCTTAGTGTGTACTGTGACCATCCTGGCTGATGCCACATGCAGACTGTAAGCACAGCCACTGCCTTCCAGGTAAGATCCATGACCACCAGGATGCAGCTCACGCCACCCAGTGCTGGCTGCCGGACGCCCAGCAAAGAGCAGAACACGGCTGCTTCCTGCAGATGGAGCAGGACAGACGGGTGATGTGCAGCTGAGGTGCCCTCGGCTCTCTGCAGTGAGACCATGGCCTGTGACCGGGACCACAACCTGTGACAAGCCAGTCCCGAGAGCGCTAACCCCCGGGCGCATCTGCCACATACTCAGCTGAGCGGAGTCAGTCTCGGCGACGCCCACTGGCGCTGCCCATGGCATGCAGGTGGCGCCGGGCGCAGAGGTCGGTCTGACTTCTCCGTGCTCAGCTGGTCTCCACGGTCCTCCCGACCCGGCTCACCTTCCCTGCCGTCCTCACCTCTCTCGACCTCTCCAGATCCTGCTCGCTCTCCGAGGACCACCTGAGGCCTCTCCTGCTGTGGCTGCCCGTCCTTGCTCCCCTGGACTCAGGCCCAGCCCCATTTTGCCCACCACCCTCGGGCCAAGGCACCCTGACCAGGTCTGAGAACTGATGTTATCACCTGTCCTGCATTCCCCACTCCAGCTTCAACTGTCACCAAACACTGCCCCACACGCCCGTCGCAACAAATTATCAATGTCCATTTAAACCAACCTGCATTTGTAGACTTAAATTTAAAATGAATATACTGCAGCCACTTTGGAAAACTCTGGCAGTTCCTCAAAAGGTGAAACAGAGTCACCATAGGATCCGGCAATTCCACTGCTGGGCATATACTCGAGAGAATGAAAACATACATCCACACAAACACTCGTTCACACAAGATCACAGCAGCCACTATTCACAAGAGCCAAAAGGTGGAAACAACCCAACTGGCCAAAAACAAATGAATGGATAAACAAAATGTGATTTTATATATATATATATATATATATATATATATATGCATATATACATATACAAGGGAATATTATTCAGCCATAAATGAATGAAGTGCTGACACAGGCTACAACATGGATGAACCTCAGAAACATGACGCTGAGTGCAAGAAGCCAGTTGCAAAAGGCCACATACGGCATGGTTCCATTTATATGAAATTCCCAGAAGAGGCAAATCCATAGACACAGACAGAGAAGAGAGATTAGCGGACCGGGGGCTGGAGGTGGGGGATGAGGGATGACTGCTAATGGTCTGGGGTTTCTTTCTGGGGCAGTGAAAATGTTCTGGAATTTAACCAGTGGTGATGATTACACAACTCTGTGACTGCACTAAAAACCACTGAGCTGTACACTTCAATGGCTGAATTGTATGGTTTGTGAATTATGTCTCAATAAAGTTGTTACAAGGAAAAGATAAAGAATATACTATTTGCCAGCCATGAAATCAAGGGTTTGTTATAGTAACTGTACCGTTTCTACAAACAATAAAGTAATAATGTTATACTATTATTTGCTGTATAAATTACTCTAAAATGCAGATTTTAAAGTTAAAATATAAACTTTTATATTTTTGTAAATATAATTTTATAGGGACACAAAATATGCTTTTATAACACATATAAAATAAGCAAAGTGTCTGTGTCTCACTCTGATTGTCAGCGAACTAGGACCTCCTACTCAGACCTGTGTCCTGCCTCGGTTTCCCAGTGGCTTCTCGTCCAGGCAGGGGGCAGTCAGATTGGAGGGGGCAGGAGTCGCCCCTCGAATGCTCTCAGCAGGCACCAGCTTGGGGGGCGGGTACGAGCACAGAGGTCCAGACTCCTCAGGATTTCCTGAGTCCCCCCTAACCCTCACCCAGCAAGGCAGGAGCTCAGTGGGGACTGCGGCCATGGGCACAGCACTTCACAGTTGACGAGATGACAGCCTGACAGCTCACGGTAAAGAGGGCAGCATCCGGGGCTCCCCTGGTGGCGCAGTGGTTGGGAGTCCGCCTGCCGATGCAGGGGACGCGGGTTCGTGCCCCGGTCCGGGAAGATCCCGCGTGCCGCGGAGCGGCTGCGCCCGTGAGCCATGGCCGCTGGGCCTGCGCGTCCGGAGCCTGTGCTCCGCAACGGGAGAGGCCACAGCAGCGAGAGGCCCGTCAAAAAAAAAAAAAAAAAAGAGGGCGGCATCCAAGAACAAGGGTCTGGATTCAGATCCTCAACAAGCCCAAGGGTCCTGAGCTCCCCGCAGCGGGGAGCGGGAAGATGCCTGGTGCTCACGTGGTCCCCAACCCCCCTCATCCCACATCCACGGTGGGCGAGCACCACCTCCAGGGGCCCTCCTCGTGGCAGCGCCCACCCTCTGTTCTCTTTCCTTTGTTTTCTTGGAAGACAGGGCTTTTATTTTCCTCCCTGGAGGCCTGGGCAGGGTAGGGGCTCTCGGAGCCTGGCACTGTGCACATGACCCGGGACAGGCGGGGGAAGCCAGCAACTCGGCTGACAGCAGCCAGGGTCCCGCCCCCCACCCCGTATTCAGGCAGGGCTCTGGCTACCAGTTCAAATCCCACCTTTGGCCGTATGACTTAACCAGCTGTGCCTCACCCAGTTTCCCCCGATCCGTAAAATGGGTATGAGAACAGTCGCTCCCTCCGAGGACTGTCCTGTGGGTGGAACACGGGAAGCCCCGAGAACAGCGCCTGGCGCTGAGCGGCTCGGGCACCTTCTCATTCCTGTGGTTTTTCTTCCCACCCTGGAAGACCAGGGCTGGGTGAGTGGGAGGGGCCCCAGGGGACTCTGGGTCCTGCAACAGTACGGCCCCTCTCTGCTGAGCCCCCCTTCCCCAGCTTTCTCATTATCGCTGGGCTGGGATAGGTGTCCACACAGACAAAGTCATGTTACTCCCCTGTGCTCCCAGGATAAAACTGCACTCCTTACCTCGACCCCTGGGGCCCTGTGGAGCCAGGTCGGGCCGGGTCCCTGCTCACCTCTGTGGCCTCCTCTCCTGCCTTCCCCTCTTCCCTTCACTTGCTCCACACTCAGCCACAGGCCTCTTTGCTGTCTACTGAACATAAGCTCATGTGACCACAGGACCTTTGAACTGGCTGTTCCCACTGCTGGCTTTCCCCCCATGTCTCACACTATGTGTTCTGATCATCCTTCAATGTCACCTCCTCAGACTGCCCCTCCCACTGCCCCCACCCCCAATCTCTCCATCATCCACTTATCACACGAGCATTCCCTTTATTCCATTACTGTTCCAGTTCCGTACTAGTCGCTCTCACTAAAATGTAAGCTCCCTGGAGCCAGGACCTCATCTGTCCTGTTCCCGGCACCCCTTGAGCCCAGAATGGTGCACAGTGTGCATTTGGTGCACAGTATGCACAGTGTGCATAATCATTTATGGAATAAAGAAACAGAGGAGAAACTGCTGTTGCATTCTTTCAAAGTTCCAGGGGCTCAGCAGAAGAAGCCGCATTCCAGCCTCCTCCTGGAGTGACCTTTGCGGGGAGCCTGCAGCAGTTCCAAAGTGCCAGGCTGGCTCGGAACTCCATTATCCTGACGAGAAGCCCCGTAAGCCAGGATACCCACACCCATCTTATACGTGAAAACGCTGAGGTCCGGAGAAGGGACTTTCTGAAGGCCCAGCCCTTCCAGAAAGTGCCGAGGCACCTTCTCTGGGAAGTGGAACAGGCGGGGCCAGGCGAACTCAAGGCTCTGCAATCAAAGCCAGTATCTCTGGCTGTGGGCCAAGAAAACTCCCAGGTGGAGCTGCCTGGCAGAGTGAGGGAGAGTAAAAGCAGGATATGATCTTCCCTCCCCAAGTCGTCCGGGCACGGGCCAGAACGAGATGCATCTTGTGTCTGTCCAGGGACGCCCAGTTCACTGCTCCGGGACTGCCAGGCGGGAGGGAGGGCTGTGGGCAGGAGGCCAGGACCGGGGGTCGCCTGGGGGCCCACCCATCCCGCCGGCCCTCCCGGGAGGCTCTGGCTGCCAGGGCGCGCTCTGACGCATCTCGCCTGCGTCCTCCGGCGCCTGCCCGGCCCTGTGTGGCCGTGGCCTGGGAGGGAAGAGGTCAGGAGGCTGGCCTGAGTCCAGCCTCACCCTGGGGCCGGGGGACTGGCCTCGGTCACAGAGGGCATGACAAACCAGGTGTCCTGACTCCCAGCCCAGGGCCCCTGCTCCCGAGGGATCGAATGCTGGCCG